AATATGTTAGTGAAGCAAAAGCTAAGTTAGAGCTATGAAGTTTCTCTACTTTTATGAAGTTACAGTTTAAAAGTTAAACAAATGTGATTTTTTAAATAAATTTTATGAGAAGCTCAAGACTTAGACAATTATAAATTTCTAAGTGTTTGGGAAAAAAACTTAATTTCCACTAACTTACTTAAATGCACTCTATGGAAGTTTATTCAAATGGGAAATTCAGAGAAATATATTACACAAAGACATAGCTTGAGGTGACTTAGAATAATGACAATAAATTATCATTAAACTCTATAACACCTGAATTAATAGCAAAGCAGTGATAGTTCTAAGGTAGTCTATTTAATTCTAAATGCCACTTTTTAAAATGCCTACTTCTATAAGACTTCTTTCAAACATAGAATTTGTTCAAAGGAACGTAAGTAGTAGCTGGTCCAACCAATCGATACTACAAATGACAAATTGGAGCAGGAAAGGCCCAATCTTGTTCGTTGTCATACAATATATAATTTCCAGGGCTAAATTTAGAGTCCACATTTGAGATTACATACACAGCTTTATTCTTTTATTACAAAAATAGGTTTATTTGGAAGTCTTGCTATGTTGTTCCTGATTTTTCAGTCTATAAAAATTATAGCATTGAAATTTGGATTAAAATACATGTAAATCTAATGAACAAGCATTTTTGGACATTTTAAACGTACACAGGCATTTCTGAGAAAAAAAATAGTGAAAATAATTTAAATCAGTTTTTTTTTTTTTTTTTTTTTTTTTTTTTTTGGAGTAACTCTGTGACTTAGGCCAGGAAATCTGACATGAAGAAATAATAAATAAGTGACCTTTGCTTCTGCCTATAATTTATCAGATTTCAATCAACCTCTTCTCATTATTTTGAGTAGAAGTATAATCAAATTAAAGAAAAAAAAACAAACAAAAACTATGTTGTCAACAATTATGTTAACATCCGGTACTAGATTTTGGGTTACGTATTCATATCTGATGTTAAGGATGGAAAATTACTTGCATCTCTCATAGCATCTGTTGTAAAAAGTTATTTGCCAAATTCCAAATTATTTGCAAGAAGGCAATAAGGAAATTCCAATTTACATGAATAATTATGCATACATTGTTCCTGAAGTATAATACTAGAATGTGAAGAAAGAGAAAAAAGGTTTTTTTTTTTCGGTGGTTTGTTTGTTTTTGAGTCTCGTTCTACTGGCCAGGCTGGAGTGCAGAGACACAACCTGGGCTCACTGCAACCTCCGTCCCCCAGGGCTCAAGTAATTCTTCTGCCTCAGCCTCCTGAGTAGCTGGGATTACAGGCACGCACCATGCCTGGCTAATTTTTGTATTTTTCTTAAAGATGTGGTTTCACCATGTTGGCCAGTCTGGTCTCGAACTCCTGACCTCAGGTAATCCGCCCTCCTCGGACTCCCAAAGTGCTAGGATTACAGGTGTGAGCCACTACGCCCCACCAAAAAAAGTGTTTTTTAAAAAGCAAATTACACATTGGAAATACCGTTCCAAGCTTTTAGTTGTTTTAGCGTAAGAATTAGTAAAGGAAAAAAGGTATGAAATTTTATTGTTGTTATGATGTTTTTTTAATGCCCATTGAGGGCTCCTGAAGCAAATTCAGGCCTCAGATAGGCTGGGCATTAGCAATTACTTAGCATTTCATCCAATTATCCTTCTCCAAATCTAGATTCACTGATAGAGAAAGGTGATCTCAGTTGAAGCATAATTTCATCAGATTTTGTTCTCAATTTGAACCTAAGAAAATGGTATAATATTCTAAGGAAAAAGATTTTACATCAGTCATATATATATAATAGTAATAATCTAATCAAATAGTAACAAGAATCTTGCTATCAAATAGTAACAAGAATAAAAATAAATTATCACTTTTTTTAACTTTTATACTATTACTTGAGACATCTAAGAAAAAGTAGACTTTTTTTTAGGCGAGGAAGTGGTGGGTGGTTGGAGAAGTGAATTAAAAAGAAAAAAAAAAGAAAAACAAGAGAAAACTACATTGCTCTGGATGACAAAGGGACAGCAGTGGCCAGAGGGGTTTTTAATGCAATGATATATGTGAATGTTTTTAGTCACTTTAAATTATGTCCAGCATAAGAAAGAAATGGCAAAGCTATTGACTACCAAATTCGTCAGTTTTGGACGAGTTTGAGAAACAATATTTCTGAATGCTCTAAGAATTCTTAAGGAGAAAGAATTGGCTGCATCTAGTCAGTGTTGAAACGCTGTTTACTGTTGTAACACTATAGTAAACAGTATTTTAAAAAGCTATATTTCAACAGATGTCAAATTCTTGCTCCCATTATAAGAATAAACCGATTTTGAAGTCCAATTATAGATACTGTTGGAGAACTTCTGGGTGCCGCCTAATTCTGAGCCTCAACATCCCATTTCTTTAGGATTCAATTCCTGCTTTGTTTGGTTTTTCAGTGCCTTTTTTCTCAGAACACATTTGTGGCCGGGATGTAGCTATTCTCATAGTATTCCAGAGCATAAGGATTTCAGAGAGTGCCTCAGGGTTGGAAGTATGGAGAGGTGCCATGCTTGGAACTTCAGAATGTCCAAACCCTACTTCATTTATTACAAATTTACTTAATTAATTCTATATGTTAGGAACTATTCTAGAAAGTACATTCATTCAAAACAGTTGCACTTTTAAATTTTGTAGTTTCACTACTTAAAAATATTTTCAAAATCTTTGTGAGAGTACAAAATGCTAGTATTTCAAATTAATAAGAAAAAGAGCAGAGATTTTTGTGATTTATGCAGTTTCACAAAGCAAATAATGACATTGTTTGTTGAGTTATTCATATGTGCCTAACATTGTACTGGGTACTTTAGATGGGATAATTCTTTTCATCTTCTCAATGAATGAATTGGGTTAGTACAATTATTATTCCCATTATAAATATGAGGAAAAGCAGCATGTCTATTAAGTGATGTATCCAGGCTTTTCGTTCTAGGATTTGCCTCCACCTCCTTCAGAACAGCCTTTACCATTGTATTAGAAACTCTGACTCCTGATGCAGAGACATTTTTATGGTCACCAACTTTTCCTGCCTACTGTAATTATGTTTGTGCATTAGAAATATTCCCAAAGTTTATTTCTCAAAAATTAAATTATTCATTAAATTATTTACATATCCTTGCTTGAGTAAATATTTATTGCCTAAATGACACTATCAGCAGAGACTCACTGTTTCTTCTTAAATCATTCTGCAAATGATTGGACGAATCTTCTGCAAGTTAAGAGACTTCAATCGTCATGCGTAATTTTGTTACAGATGAACTATAGCTGAATTTAATAAAACATTTTTGACATGTTAAGTTATTAAATCTTCCTTGGAAATGCTTAAATTGATTTTCACATGATCCCTATTTCATAGACTAGAGGAGACTGAATGGTATTGAAATATGAATATGTATAAATACATATAGTATTGATTTCTCTTTATTGGATTCCATCAAAATATATTTAACAACAATTTTTGTAAAGTAAATTAAGTTTCCAAATGAATTCCATGGTAAAATTAGAGACACAGTCTTTTGGAATAATGTTTCCAAAAGAGCAAGTGAAAAATAGTTATTTCAAAAAGTAATTTTTATTAGAGACATTTCATGGCATAATCACACCTACTGGGGATGTATTAGTATCCTTCGAGACATGTGTAACAAAGACTCTGAGCTCCCAGAACATGCCTTTCTTTTCCTTCTGTCTGTGTTCAATTTAGTAGAGCCTGGTACCAATAGACGTCAGTTAATCCTCTGTAGAAGATATGCTTTACTGATAAAATCACAAAATTATATCTGAGATAAAGGTAAATATTAGTAGGGAAATATATGTAGAGGAGATAAAAAGGTTTAGTGTCCAAATGTTTGCTTAAAATGATAAAGGAAACATTTTAGTTTATATCTTCAAATATGCACACATTTAATAGTTCACTTATCTCTAGTTTTAAAGGGAAAGAAGCTATTAACACAGGTGGATTTTTGAGATATTTAAAATGTAATTTATAGAACTATGTAACAAACCCAGATAAGAATTACAGTAACAGGATTAAGAGAGTTCATATAACTCAGTTTGTTAAATTAAGATTACACCCATTTTATTTTGTTCAATGACAGGATTACACTTTATAAAAACATTTAGAGATAAGAGCTCATCAAAGTGATAATGTTTGGAGTGAGAAAAAAACCTGAAAACCATTCGCATTTTAAGAATAACAAAAAAAGAGAGAAGGTACTGATACCTGTTTTCAAATAAGCAAATGCCCATCACATAAAACAAACAAACCAACAAACAAAAAAGACTATAAATGTTGGCCAAGTCCTAAGAGTTGAAAGTATAGTAGATATTTTCTCAGTTTATGAAGCAATTTTCTAATGATTTTAATTGCTCCTAAATGAATCCTTGTGTTACACGTTTGTTTAACCAGAGGATAGAACACATGGTTTGTTTTTGTTTTTGTTTTTGTTTTTGTTTTTTATCACAGACCATCTTCCTTTAGAGAAACTCTATACTACTTTTTAGTAAGTTTTGTTTTCAAGTAGGGATATATATTACAGAAAATTTAGAAAGCATGAAAGTTTAAATAATACATAAATCTAACATGAGTTTCAGGACACAAATAATAAAGAAATCTTTACTGATACCCAGAGTCGAAGATGATGGTGACTGAAATCGCTCAAAATGCTAAAGAAAACTTAGTAGGCTGGAGAAGTTTCCTGGAGACTTGATGTATAAGGAAGGGATAAATATACCAAAAATAGCTGAGAGAGTGTGCAAGGCAGAAGAAGCAGAATAAGTAAAGATATGAGAGATAAACACATGGAGAATTGAGGGAGTGCATAGTACGAGGAAGATCAAAATGTGAGACAAATCCAAACGTTGAAGAGTTTGGTTCCTGGCTAAAGTACATACCTATGGATGGTTTTTGATACTCAACCAATGGCAATTAAAAAGGCCTTACCTGCCAGGCCTGATGAGAAAAGCTGCCCTCTCCACACCTGACTTGGGGCATAGCCAGTATATTGAAGTCTCTGAGGTGAGTTGCAGTCAAGGTTTCAGGTTGGGCCTGGTGCAGTGACTCACACCTGTAGTCACAGCACTTTGGGAGATTGGGGTGGGAGGATCACTTGAAGCAAGGAGTTCGAGACCGGCTTAAGTAACATAGTGAGACCTGGTCTGCAAAAACAAATAAATATATAAAAATTAGCCATGTGCTGCGGCACATGCCTCCTAGCTACTTGGGAAGTACTGAATAACTGTAGGCAATTATAACACGATAGTATTTGTGTACTTAAAAGTATTCGAACATAGAAAAGGTACAGTAAAAATACAATATAAAAGATAAAAAATGGTACACAGGTACAGAGCACTCACCATGAATGGAGCTTGCAGGACTGGAAGTTATTCCGGGTGAGTCAGTGAGTGAAGAATTTGGAGGCCTAAGATGTTATTGTACACTACTATAGGCTTTATCAATACTGTATTCTTAGGCTTCACTTTACTTATTAAAAATATTCTTTCTTCAATAATAAATTAATCTTAGCTTACTATACCATTATTTCATAAACTTTTAAATTTGTTTAACTTTTCTGATTCATTTGTAATAACACAGCTTAAAACACAAACACATTGTATAGCAGTACAAAAGTAATCTTTCCTTACATTCTTATTCTATAATTTTTTTATATCTTTAAAGATTTAGTTTTGTTTTTTACCTTTAAACTTTTTTGTTAAAACTGAAGACACAAATTTTCTATCTTTAAAGATTTAGTTTTGTTTTTTACCTTTTAAATTTTCTTGTTAAAACTGAAGACACAAACACACACATTAACTTAGGCCTACACAGTGTCAGGATCACCAGTATCACTGTCTTCCACCCTCCCTATCTTGACCCACTGGAGGGACATCAGGTGCAGTAACTGATGTGGAGCTATCATCTCCTATGATAACAATGCCTTCTTCTGGAATGCCCGCGAAAGATCAGCCTGAGACTGTTTTACTGTGACTTCTTTCTTTTTCTAAGTAGAAGTACAACTCTAAAAATAACAATTAAGATCATAGTATAGTAAATACATAAGCCAATAACATAGTCATTTATTATCATTATCAGGTATCATAATTGTGTGTACTATATTTTCACATGATTCACAGTAGTTTTGTTTATACCAGCATCACCACAAACATGAGTAATGTGTTGTGCTAAAATTTTACTACAGCGAGAATGTCACTAGGTGATAGGAATTTTTAAGGTTTATTATAATCTTATAAGACCACCATCATGGTCTGTCATTTACCAAAATGTCACTATGTGGTGCATGACTGTACTATCACATCACATTCAATAATTGAAATCTTGACTGTTACTTTCATTTTGCCTTGTTATATTGTTTGCCTACTATGACACCTGGCAGCTCAGCTATCTCTAGCTGAGTTTGTCAGCTCCTGACAAAAGGAAGGAACTTGTGAGAGTAAATTTTAGGTGTCAGGTAGACTGGATTACAGGATATCCAGAGAGTTGATAAAGCATTATTTCTGAGTATGCCTGTGAGGGTATCAGTGGCCTGAGTAAGGAAGATCTGCCCTCACCCAATGGGAGCAGGTGTCATCCAATCAGCTGAGTGCCTGGATACAATAAAAAGGCAGAGGAAATGTGAAATAGTTTGCTCTCTGTCTTCTGGAGCTGGAATACCATTTTCTCTTCCCTTGGATATTAGAACTCAAGGTTCTCCAGACTTCGAATTCTGGAACTTGCACTAGCAATCTGTCAGGTTCTCAGGCCTCTGACCTCATACTGAGAGTTATTCTGTAGGCTCCGTTGGTTCTGATGCCTTTGGACTTTAATAGTTACACCACCAGTTTCACTGCAAGTTTCTCCAGCTTGCAGATGGCCTATTGTGGAACTTTTCAGCCTTTGTAATCAGATGAGTCAATTCCCCTAATAAATCTTCTATCATCTGTCTATCTATCTATTCATCTCTTGTTTCTGTCTCTCTCTGGAGAGCTCTGATTAATATAGAACTTATAAATCAGAATCTAAAAAGTACAGAGTTCTGATGGAAAATAATCCTATGAGTAATAATGGGTGTCAATACTGTAGGCTCAGGCAGAAGTTATGGGAATGCCAAATGGGTTTGGTAGCTGTCTAGGAGGTAGATTCTATATGATTTGTCCACTGATGATGTGAGGGCCTGATAAGTCATGAAGAATCATCAATATTGAGGTTTTGATTTATTTCTTGGGAGATTGGGTGGCTTTTGTTTTTCACTTACATAGTAGGTAGTATCAGAGATGAATGAGAGAGAGGGGAGAAAGAGAGAACTATGATGGGGGAAAGATAAATAGGCTACTTAGAATAATCAGAAAGATTTTAAAAGTAATTTTCATATCTATGGTAATTAAATCAGGGCAGCATTTAATTCAAGGAAAAATGTGTAGAAAGAAAAGAGAAATAAGAAAATAATTCTGGACATACCAATATTTGAGGCCTTGCAAGGCCTACAGTGTACAGCCAGTGAAGTACACTAAAGGTGAGTGGTAGAAGGCACATTTGTTGATTAATTTTTGCCCCACATAGTTCTAGTCTCACCATATAGGTCTTTCAAATTCCCCAAGTTCTTTCCTACTTCAGGGCCTGTGAAAAAGATTATTTCTCTACTTAGAAAACTCTTGCTTCCTGTGTTTCCCTACATCGGCTCTGCTCTCTGCCTCACTTACTGGCTTGAATTTAAAAATGTCTTCCTCCTTAAGATGAGTAGAAAAAAATCAGGAGGGTGGAACTAGACAAGCTGTGTTCAAATATCAGCTCTCTCACCTAAGAACTCCATGAATCAGAAATCTCCTAACCTCTCTGCACTTCAGCCTCCTTATATGTAAAATACATAATGAAGATTAAATACTGAGAACATACAGAACAGTGCTGGTCCAGAGCAAGTGCTCAATCAGCATTAGCACTCGTTATGTTATTGTGTCGCTCTCTTAGCACCCTGCCCCTTGTCTGCAATAGCTCTGAAAGCTTGTAAGAAGGATCCTGACTGTCTTCTCACTTCTGTGTCTCCAGAGCTTGGTACAGAGTAGGCACTTAGAAAATGTGGCCCTTTGGGTATTTTTTTTCTTTAGTTTACACTTGTGTAGGAATCTTCACCATCACTGAAAATGTCAAATGCCCAAAGAATATAGCCCATGAATCTGGTTATACCTGCTTTTATCTGATTAACTCCTTCACTCAAAAAGAACTATAACACATATCTCCAAGCTTAATTATTTTCCTAATGGTTTCCAAGCCCAGAATTTCCCTTTTTTTATACTACAACATTTCTTCTGATTCATTGGCAGTGCTTTATCCTTTTAGAATTAGTATAATTTAGTTGAATCTCCTACTGTTCTAGATTGTTGATGTATATTACATCCTCTGATTTAAGGAATATTTTTTAACAGTGGCTTCCAACTCATAATTTAATTTCTTCAGAGGCAAATATTTTTTTTTTCTGGAGTGCAGTTAATTCTGTTACATTTATGTATATAAGTATGTATTTATGTAGTTTGCTAGTTTTCATCCTATTTTTTTCCTATTAGTTGTCAAATATATTGTTATTATGACCTACATTATCCCTGTCTTTTTCTCTTATTTTACAGAGATAATATTCTCTTGGATCTCACTTAGGACTATTATGTGGATATTACATAAGTCTTTTTTGTCTTTTTTAATTCAGTAAATCACATATAAAGTACAAATTTTTCTCACTTGATGTAGGGTTAGTTACTTCCTTTCTTTTTTTCCTTTTTCTTTCCTTTCTTTTTGTTCTGTCTATTTTTTCTTGATTGAAGGTTGAGTTATCCAAGCCTACATGACAAATCGTGATTTACCTTTATATCTGTTTAAAGATTTCACATAAGCCACCATTTTTTTTTGCCATTAAGTCCTAAACTCAGAAAAAACTCTGAGAGACTTGGATAATTTCTAGATAAAACTGTTGCTCAATGAATGCCATTTTAAAATTCAAAATATATTCTAATTTCTGCAGTAGGCCAAAGAAATAATCAGCGTGGGGCCAGGGGCACTTTCTATGGAGTATTAACTAAAAGAACAAGAATGAAATTGAAAGGTGGGGAAGCTATCAGTGAAAATACACTGTTCCTGGGCCCATGGATGCTAGCAAAATGTTTGCCCAAGGTAACTTTCTGCCCTTCCTCACACACTCTAGAGACTTGTAGCTCTCTCACAGGCCATTTATCTTCTCAATAATTGTTTCCTTTATGGTGTTGTCTCCCTAGCCATATATCGTGATGGCAGACAGGTCCAAGGAACCTGATAAATTACAGATAGCAGTCTAGTCAATGAATGGCCTAGACCCCAAAATTTATTTTGCCATGCCTGCAATGAAACAACTGATAAATACAAATAAGGAATCCTGAAACTGTCTTATGATACAAGAGGGAAGTACAAGTTGAGGTACATAATCTGCTGGATGAAAGCTCAAACTACATGGTTCACAGGATAGGTGATCACAAATTGGGGGAAAAAAGACAAATTAAATTTATACTTTGTTAATAAAAATCATCATATGTATATTTGTTTACATAATGTGAAGACATAACTTAATGACAGCACACATTGATTAACCTAAAATGTAGGATTTCATGACCACTAACACACTAAAATTTTAATATTAAAAATAAAACCTCTGATCAAATGTACAAATTAACTCCATAAAACAATAAAACAAAAAGCAGAATTAGTCACTAAACAACTATACAATTTAGAATGTCAGCTAAATGGAGATGTGGGGAATAAACAATGAGCCTGCAACTAAGAACTTTACTTTTATTTTATTATTTTGCTGTGTGGTTTCTGTAACTCTGTTAATTTTTATCACCCTCAAGTCTTGGGCTAATTCACTTCACCTGAATAACCCCAATTTATTACATATTTAGAACCTGGAAAGCAAGACTATTTTCTTTTTTACAAAATAATGCCATTTAATTGTATCTGGGAACTATCACTGTAAAGCTGTCTGGAAAGCCTGAACCTGTGCTGGCCTTCTATTCAAGCATCACTAAGTAGAGTGATAAGTAATAGACTCAGTTCACTTTTGTTCTCCTAACCCAGTTTATATTATTAACTGTCCCACATATTAGTAC